TGACTCTCTCATACGTCCTTACAGTGTAAGTTGTATTAACTATGTCTGAATTTAAAAGTGCGAAAACTGTAACTAAACATTTTTGTTAACGTTGACTAGTAGAGATGAGGTTTGATATATTGAAATGCTTTCTATATATTAAGCAGCGGTTAAAACATGTACCGCTTCTAATGACCGGCTCTTTAATATCACTTCAATCGTTACTTTATAGTGTAATAAATGACATAAACATAACAACTTTACAGATGTGATAACGATTATAGAACAGTTTAAAGCTGATATTAATGGGAAAGTATAATAAAGCAATTGTGTCTCGATAGGCCCATAATTTTCAAGAGATACAGATTAAGTTGCTCTGTTTCATCTCTATGTATTGCATAGCAAGTTAGCAGCTTTGTTCAATAGGATAAATTGGTGGTGCTGAACAAGTAGACGATGAAGGCATTTGTGCGTTCATGCATGCTGTACTTGGCTTTTTGTACTTGTACAATCCAACCAAGTTGGAGGCTGGCAAATTACGCATGGAATAATAACGTCTGCTACTGATTTTCTGAACAGGGTTCAGGCACTATTCGCTACGATTTAAGTATAAAGTAACAGAGGTCTTCTCACTATCTCAAGTCATCACTTCTTCATGTGCAACTTCATCGACATATTTTAAATAAATTGCCTGCGTAATGTAAAAGAAGTACCAACGATACATTTGTGTTTACAAACATACCTAGTCTTACAAGTAAAGATCAGAGATTCATATGCATCCCGCTATCTTGATACTGTGTATCAGTGAGTGTTACGAAAAGGATTTTATTACTATACTTGAGATGCTTTCAGTTTCAAAATTACTTAAAAGGAACAGAAAATACAATAGAAAAAAGGGTAGTTTATTATTTATTACGAAGCTAATATAAAGATTACCTAAAAGATACCTAAAAAAGGGAGAAGAAAAAATTTAGTACACGTCCCACAGCCCACAAATTTAAAAGAGTTTGTTTGTTGCTAGTTGACGTTTCAAAGATGGGTGCCACCTTCAAGGGAATTCTTTTCCAGACAGACCAGCTACATTACAATGCAGGCGATCCCCCATCAGTATCAGCCAGATAACCAGTCCAGTACACCTAGGACCAAAACTAAACAACCAAAAACACCTAGGATCAAAACAATATCGGCCAATAACGCCTAGACCAAAAGATATGGGCAATGAGGCCATAAACTGTTAAACATGGCTCAACAGTGATGTGCCAACTAGCCATATTACAGATAACTAAGTTAATAACACACACTATGAAAGCTTCCTTTGAAGAGAGGGCCTTATGCTTCGTCACAGATGCACTATCTATTGGCTTTCTGAGGATTGCTCGAAGGCCTCCTACTTTGTGTGAATAGCGGGATTAAAGTGGGCTTCAGGTTTCGTCAGGAAAGGGTCCGATAAGCTCCATAGTGAAACGTTCGCGAAGAACCTGGACATATACAACCAGAGCATCTTGTATACTGAGTAAGTTTTTTTTTTAAAAAAAAAAAAAAAACTACCAAAAGACCAAATGAATAGTTTGAGAAAGGGGAAAAAAAAAAAGAATGCGTCACTCCCTTTTATTTGTTTGTTTACATGAAAACAAGTTATGGGTTACATCAAGTCTTATCGTAAACTATTTCGCATTCTTCATGACTTTAGCTTATTAAGATTATCCTTTAACTTGTATACATTTGAATATCTTTTAAAAGAAGAAGAGATAAAACGGAGAATGGTACAAAGTATCTTCAATACACTAGAAAAAGAAGAGGGACGTTTTCCATAAATGGAAACTGATATAATAGCTAATGCTCAGAAGGTACTATTCATGCAAATTATGCAGTAGAGAAGATGAGTTAAAGCTCTGTCTCTTAAATATAGTCATTTGTGACCGTATATTAATGCTATATGCCATCTTTATTCTAATATATTCTTTTTTCACAAAATTGAGAAAATACGCAAGATACTGAAGGATTCTATTTAAAATAGTTGGATTTACTCAGCATGACAAATACACCCTCTATCTTTGCTCAGTATACAAGACACCATCAGTGACAGCCTCATATTCTAAGAGTTAGCAAGTTTTGTGGGATCAGTGTCATGATTTGGTGTTGCTTTCGGATGGTGGATATGATCCTTTAGTTTTTGTTAACAGCAATATAAACCAAGATTTATATGTCGACTGTTTGTCACAAAGCCTTCTTCTCTGGTACAATGAGCTACTACTACTTTCTGAATGTAAGAAGTATACAACCCAGGAATATAGTGCGCCTTGTCACAGGATTCTATACCAAGTGATCAAAAAGCTTAGAGGCATGCTGTGAAGAAAGAGTGGCAGATTTTTATGGGACGGAATGTAACAATGTATTAAATCTTGATCAATTTTTATTCCCTACTGGGGCTTATTACAATATACTACCCATTGTTGGTCTAAACCATTCAGCGGATGATATTTATGAATGTTGTCATTAGGCGCCTTTTGATCAATATAGTCTTATTTCTCACCTCACATAGTCACTCATAGTTTGTTGAAGGATAGTCAACTTTAGCATCGCTAGTTATAATTTAAAGAAAGTGCATCCGTATCAGTCTATTATTAGTGACAACTTTTTTTTTCCCTTTGTTACTTTAAAAAGAGCGTTGTCAAGGAAACGGGCTGTTTGTTTGTTTATTGATTTGATATTATGAAGCTCTTTGTTTCAAATGATATATAAACAAGATAAATCTTTCTTCACTTTTTTATCCTTCATTCCATTTCAACTTTTATACTTCAAGTTTTATTGCCATGGCACCACCTATTAGACCCAACAAGCCTGCTCCTAAGCTTCGATAACCCTACTCAACGTATGTACTTGCATGGAAAGATGTCAATTTTCCCCACGTACTCTGGACACATTTTGTTTTGGTTTTTTAAAGCAAATAAATAACTTTTACTGGTGTCAATTCTTCATAGGAAGCTGCATCGTAATCATGTTCCTTTTGTATGAATTGTATCTTTTTATAGGCTATTTTATAAGTTGACAGAGGTTGTAAATCCTCTCTACAGATATAAAGATGGCCATATCGTCTTTATTACGGAATAAGTTGTAAATGAATGAATGAGTAGTAGAGCAATATTAGTTTAATTGTTTATTCATTCTTCGATTATTGTTTGCATTAAAGTATTGCATTGTGACATGTCAGTCATAAGAGTATTCCGGGTCTGTGATGAAACCCTGATCAGTTCAGTAGGAAGGAGAGTAATCACGTGCACATTTCACTAAATGCGTTCTCATATACGAAGACCATGTTTGAGAACTTATATTTAACAAGAATTTACTTTATTCAAGTTTGATTAGAACTTTTGGAAAAGTTATATGAGTAGTGGTCGACACTAATCCAACCATTAACAAACGCCCTTTAATTTGCCTTACGATCTTCATGTTAAAGTTCAAAATGAATAAAATAGCTTTCAATCAAATTAGTAACTTGGGCCTAGTAAGGATTATATTCAATGAGGCTAGGATACCTCTCAACCGAAACAACGAGCAACACCGGTAAATCTTGTATTTTTCATATAAAGATATGCTATTGTTCCAAAAGAGTTACCAATTATTATTTGCATCACAATGAAAATTGGTGGTAGATTTTTGTAATCTTGGGTTTTAGGAAGGTAGAGCACCGTTCTGTCCTGAATTGGGGGGTTAATGTGTAGAATCTCAGAATATACAACTTGACTACAGATGATCTATGTTGATTGCTATAACCCTCTCTCGACGTTATCTATTAAGTATAAGACCATTTTATGAGATAATTGAAGAATGCAACAAGTGAAAATCAAGTGAAAGCTTATCCTCACGATAAAACAAGTCGTGTAACCCTTTATAATTGTTGTTTCGTCAATTACTTTTGCTCTTGACTGATCTTTACTCAAATTAAGCTCTATCAGGGCTTTATAATAATTAGAACCAATTTGTTTAAGGACATCTATGTAAGTTATCGCCCTGTACCTCTCTTTCTCCATTTTTGTTGACATACGTAGTCCTCTTTTATCACATGAGTCTGTAACACATGTGATGAAACAAGAGTAATTAAAAGCAATCGTCTACCCTTTTCATTCTTCTTTCCTCTTCTTTAAATAAACGATGGAAGTATCGACTCAGATCACCACTTACTCAGCTACACTATATAATACACCATCAACGCTATTACCAGAGCAAATAGCAAACGTTATTACAGCAATTACTTTGGCTGCTCGATTATCCATTCGTTGTTCATCTCTTTTGATAGAAGCTCTTATAGAATCTGTTAAATATAGTACGTCGTTTTCCTTTGGCGTTTCTAGGCATGTCATCATCAATGCATTATCCACAGCTAAAAAATTTCATGAATTAACCTCTACAAACAGCTTATCAATTGACAAGTAAAAAAAAGATAACAAATAGACATTAAATCAATATTCATTCATTGCCTAGGACTAGTTTTTTGCAAGTGTTAGATAAATATACAAATCTTGGCATCTATATTGTTCATCATTCATTCACCCTAGCCGAGCTATTCGCACTCTCAGGCTTACATTTTACATCCCAAACCATCAAGTCTGGTCTCATGGTAACTAATCATAATGCTTTGAAAGCATCCACTGACTATTTTTTTTTTAAAAAAAAAAAAAAGGCTGCGGAAGAGTCTGTTGGCATTATTGACGGAATATTTGGATCAAACGAATCATCCCGAGCAATTGCTTCAATCATTACACTCGTACACAACGAGCTAGTAAAGGATCCAGAATTTAAGCTAGCTAAAATAGGCAAAGTAGCCATCCTGTCAGGATTAACAAAAGCAATCACCTTGTTTGCTATAATTCAAAATTTCACCCACCATAGAACCGTCCGCCAAATGGATATCAACCTTTTATGGAAAGGCTTGGTTGTTGAAGAAGAAAGGAATGAACAGTCATTAATACAGTTCCAAAGCAAGCAGGACAATACCACTCCTTCTAGCTCTGCCCAGGAATCATCACATTCAGATATCATTCATGAATTGGAAGAAATTTTATCAGTTACACCATCAGAATTTCCTGAAAGTAATAATCAGCCATCTATTGGCGAGAATGAAAAAGAGCAGACAACTGTTTGCCTAAGTTATGATAAGAGAGGAGAGCCTTATGGTCTATACGAAATAACTACGACCACGAAACGTACGACAACAAAGACAACTCGTATCAGGCCAATTGATACCAATGAAGCAGACCAATCGTTTGCAAAACAGATTGTTGAACAAACGAACGAGGAAGAGAATGAAACTTTTATGGCCGCTGTCGACACTCGGCCAGATACCTCCTATGAGCTGACCATCCCCGGAGCATGGCCACAGACACAGGGGTCTCAATGTGTTCAATGGACAAAGCCGCAAAAGAAAACTGGATTCAAGATTATGCTTTCCTCTATCTCAAAGAAGTTAGCAAGGAAAAAAGTAGAGCGGCAGACCAACTATGGAATCATTTCGCCAGACGATGGTCATTTAGATCCCACAGTAGAAGGGTCCATTCAAACAGTGACTAGTACCTCAACCACATTGCGCTCCACACTTTCAACCAGCAGCAGCATACACCATTATCAGCAGGGCTCTGATAATACAGAAGAAAGACCACTTCCTTCGTTGCCAGGCAGTTCTACAAGCTTCATGGAAGTCAAATCACCACCAAAGCGACGCAAATCATGGAGCGGGCTCAAAATGAAGAATATTGGCCGTAGAAAAAGCATTACCAACTTGATTCAAAAAGGCACAGATGCCTTTTCAAGCAAAAAAAAGAAGCCAAGATCAAACCCACCTCCACCACCTTTACCTTCCAGAAGAAACTCCATCAGTAGCAATAGTTTACGTAGATCTACATCCATCAACAGCGTGACCTCGCTCTCAAGCATCGCAAGAACACTTAAAACGACAACATACTGCACAACAACACCACACATAACACCCACATCATCTTCTAGATCACTCATTCGTTCCCCTTCAGTACCCTCTCGGCTTTGTCCACCCAACGCGACATCTGTCTTGGAGATGGAACCTAATCCTAAAAACTTTCCTCGCAAGCATATCATTACTAATATTGCTCACTTCATTCGTTATGCCAGCGCTGCCTATGGAGAATCATTCATGCGTATATTAGGGATTGGTGATATCCCTAGCGTACTTCCAAAATCACATCACCCAAACCATCACGCCTTTGCTCACCACACCGGTGTCTCTGTCAGCGATATTTTACTATCGAGCTACACAGATGACAGCATCCTAAGCTCATTAACGCATTCCAAACCTCACGCTCTAGTACATTATGTAACAGTAGATCATTTTGCTGAAGCCATTGTGCTTACCTGCCGTGGAACGCTCGGTCTGAGTGATATCTTGACAGATCTAACGTGCGACTACAAAGAATTTGTGTTACCCACTGATAAACTACTATATGAGGAACAAAAGAAGGCAAACGGACACTGTGATTCTCCTAGACGCTACATTGCACATGGTGGCATGCTTGAGGCTGCTCAGATGATGGCAGTGCAAAAGGGAAAAGTATTTGAAGCTATCAAAAGGGGCCTAGAGGCGTACCCCAACTATGGCCTTGTCCTCTGTGGACACTCACTCGGCGCTGGTGTCACGAGTTTGCTTAGTATTCTTTTGAGTGAAGAAAGAGCTCATTATTTATCAAGAAAACAAGCAACAGCTGAAAACGAAGGAAAGCTACTGAGTGCGCTTACAACTTCCTCTATCAAAAAAGAAGCATGTCCGTTTGTGACGTCTGAACTATCAGGCTTACCTGCAGGTCGACCCATTCACTGCTATACCTATGGATCCCCTTGTGTCATGTCTTTGGCACTTAGTGAATACTGTGGTCAAGGGCTAATCACGAGTGTCGTTCATGGTTATGATATTGTTAGTAGCCTAAGTCTAGGCTTACTCAAAGATTTCAAAAATGTTGCAGTCAGTCTTCATGAAGAAAGTCATGTTGCTGATGAAATCCTTACGCGCATACTTTCTTATTACCAAAAGAAAAAAACAAACGAAATTACTCCAGAAGAAGAAGAGAATGAGCAATGGTTTTGGGCATTGATCAAGACGATGCGAGCTGATATGAATGCAGAAAAATTATTCCCTCCGGCCACCACATACCTTATAGAAGCTATACCTCAACTAGCTCAACATACCCAATCGAGGTCTACATCATCTCAAGAAAAGACACAAGAATCAAAGCATAAAACTGCTTATATGGTACAGTTTAGTCTGTGTAATAATATACAAGCTAGGTTTTCAGAGATCGTTTTCTCGAAAGCTATGTTTATGGATCATTCTCCAAATATGTATGAAAAGGCAATCAAGTTATTAAATAAAGGCTATTTCAGTTAATCGTCTCCTGACCTCAATCTTGCAAAGCGTGGTACATTCTTTTTCATAGTGGAGTAAGCTTTAGTATTGACCTTGAAGAAACCATTTTGTAGTGATTACTTGTATACGTTTGTGATCTGCTTGACACAAAAGCTCTTGTTCTCTAGCCAGCTTTTATACAAGTAAAACATGTGATATAGGTCATGCACAGTAGCCTACTGGAAAATAAAGTTGATGTCGCACTGGTCCATAAATACATCTAGTGATTTTTGCAAGAGATGCATGTATGTAGAATGAGGTATTTATTTTACAAAGCATAACTCGCTGAGCTAAACGCGTAATCATCATCGTCATTGACTTCTGTACCTTGTGATTGTATCGATGGACTAAGCACACTAGATTGATCTGACACTGATTCATATGGGATCAAATCCCATAATTGATTGAGATTATCTTTATATTTGCGTTCATACAACAAGACAACGGTGCCTGGCTTGGTCCAGTTTCCCTAAATATGTTTTTGAATAATATCCTCTTTACCAAGTAAATTCATACTTACTCTAATATCAAGCACAAGGTTAGGATTGGCTTGAAGGTAAATAAATCCGTCATCTCTATAATTCCATCTTTGGTTATGAGCATCTTCTACCATTTTCCTTCTATATTGAATTATTTGCTTATCACTTTCTATAACTCCTCCCTGCACATCCAACACTTTTTTATATTTAATAACACTGAATTGCTTTCCTGTCATGTATTTACCCATTCCCGAGTTTTTATTGATGATATATCCGTGATCGTACATCCAGAGTTGATTGTCATTGTCTTTTGTCTTTTTTGGCCAAACAATCACTTTAGCTGCTGCCTAAATGGCATGTAAGTTATTTTTAAAAGTTTCTCGGTGCATTCCAACCTTTAGTGAGTCTTGCGTGACGTCCAAGACCATCTTGTGTGAACATTTCGACTGAATATAAAACCAACCTGAAGGAAAGTGACTCATTTAAAAAAAAATAAAGGGAAAAGCTGTTTAACCAAGATTATGCAAGGTAATTTTCCTTTAGTGTTACATCATACGCAGCTGAAATTGGAAGTCTCTTTATATACAGAACACTCAAAAACAGGTAAGTATGATTTCATCTATTACAAATATTAGCATTATCCTATTCAACTACAACTTGTGTTTAAACAAAACCTTCAATGCTTGATGTAGAAAGAAGACCAAAAGAGAGAGAGAGAGAGGGAGAGGCAATGACATCTATCAATATAAAGCCAAATAGTTGATAAATGCAGTAAACATGTCTTTTCCTAATTTGGTTTATTGTTTTGGGTTTCTTCTTTAAATTCAAAACCAACATAAAATCATGTTTCTTTCTTTGTTATGCAAAAAAATGTATGATAATCACTTAAGCGGTAATACAACTTTACGTGGCCCAAGACCATTCCAACAAGCGAAAGAGCATATACCCACATGGTCAAGGCAATCAAGGCAAACTCGCAAGCCAATAGAAATGATTGTGCCTTCACTTCAAGAAAATGAAAAAGTACAGATAGACTCTGACAGTCATCATCATTCATCAGGAAGAGTGCCCCAAAGGAAGCTGTCAAAGATAGAGGCTAACATATACCCTAAAGTACCAATAAGTGACGACGAGGAAGAAGACCTTAAAAAAGAGATAGAATTATGCCTAAAGGACTTAAGTAGCGCTCATCGTGCTGCTGTGTTATCAAAAATAACAGTAAATACAGACACTGTAGATAGCGATGAAGAATCTGCCCCTGAGCCGACTGTAACTAAAAATAATCTTCCCTCAGTACCACAAATTTTAGCGCCTGGATACGACGATGATGATGGCGATGAAGAAAAGCAGGATATGAGCAATCAATCACACTCTCATGGAAATGATAAAACAAATAGACCACAGTCTAAGCTACCGCCCATCCCACAGATATCAGCACCTGGATATGATGATGATGAAGATAACAATAGCTCAAACAACACTTCTATACCACAGATTTCTGTGCCTGGGTATGATGAGAAGAAAAAAGTGGAACGTGAGCCCGAAAAAGAGTCAGTATATGAAAGCATCTTTTTTACCGTTCGTTGCAGTGGATGCCACAAACCTCTTAGTGGTCAAGCGTTTACTACAGCAGGTAATCAATGGCATGCAAAATGCTTTAAATGTCAAGTATGTAAACAGCCCTTGGAGCATATTGCATTTTATGAAAAAGACGGACTCCCTTATTGTGCACTTGATTACCATGAACTTTTCAGTCCTCGTTGCGACTACTGTAAGACGCCTATTGAAGAACACTCTATTTCGGCACTAGGCAAGTCATATCATCCTGGTCACTTCTTTTGTCGTGAATGTGGAAAGCCATTTCAAGAAGATTCTAGTTTTTTGGAGCATGATGGACATGCATATTGTGAAAAGGATTACTACAAGAAATTTGGTAAAAAATGCAAAGGATGTGAAGAAATTATCACAGGAGACTTTCTGGTAGCATTGGGCGGTGAATGGCACAAGGAATGCTTTGTGTGTTCCGATTGTGGTGCAGCATTTAGCTCTCGTACATTCTTGATTAGAAACGGCAAACCTTATTGCGAAGCGCACTATGACTCTATTTTGTCTGTAACATCGCAAGAGAAGAGAAAGAAAGAAACGCCACTATTACCTAAAATGTTTGAAAAAGGCATTGATAAAAATGTACAAGTAGAAAACAAAGTGTGTCATAATTGCCATGAGCCCATCACTGGCAGATGCTCTAGCGCTTTCGGAAAGGATTACCACCCGCTCCACTTCCAATGCTCCGAATGTCACAAATTACTGTCCGTAAGGGTTACAGGTAAGTCGGTGCATCCAAAGGTCAGTACAAAGATGCTGACAGATTATTTTCTTAATAGGATTATATCAAGAAAAAGAACCAGGAGAGCTCATTTGTAAAAGTTGCGCACGTAAAAGCAATAAAAGAGCATTGTAAATAATAAATAGTAAAGTTTCGTTTATTTTGCATGTCTTTATGATGAATCTAAAGCTTAGCCTTTTCGGGCTCGGCTTGGTTATTTACACGTTCATAAAGCTGAGCGATCTGTGCTTCAAAGTGCTTCTTGGCCTGTGGACGCTTAACCTTGAAAGTAGGAGTTAATAAGTCGTTTTCAATAGTGAAAGGCTCGGGTTCTAAGTGAATGGCTTTGGCAAATTCAAATCCACGCAGACCGGATAATTTACCAACCCGGTCCATTTGTGCGAGCACCAGAGCATTCACTTCAGGAAGCTTGCAGAGTTCAGGAAGACTTAATTTCTTTACATGAATTTGAGGTAATTTGGCAGCAAGAAGGGAATTCAAAGCATCGGGATCAGGGACAACAATAGCGACAAGAGAACTCTGGAGTGAGTCACCATGCAGGTAGATCTGACCGATGATAGGGTCTTTGGCATAAACATTTTCAATTTTCTCAGGAGCAATGTATTCGCCTTGAGCCAGCTTGAAGATATTCTTCTTACGGTCAATGATGACAATAGCACCTCTTTCGTTAATCATACCAATATCGCCTGTGTGGAACCAGCCTTCTTCATCAATTGCTTCTCTTGTCTTTTCTTCATCCTTGAAATAACCCTTGAAGATGTTGGGACCACGCACACAGATTTCGCCGCGAGGATAAGGATCTGTAGAGAGATATTCCATTTCGGGTACATCCAACAACATAATCTCGTTACAGGTAAAGGGACCACCGATATGACCGGCAAGGTATTCACCTTCGTAATGAACAGTAGAGGCAGCACAGGTTTCAGTAGCACCGTATCCTTCACGAATATCACAACAGAAAGCAATACGAAGAAACTGCATGACATCTTTGCCAATAGGAGCAGAACCGGTAACCATAATACGTACGTTGCCGCCCAAGGCTTGCTTTACCTTGTTGAAGATCAATCTATCCCACAAGGGGTGAGTGTAACCTTTGCCAGCTTCGAGATTGGCCAACTTGGCAGCCACTGCACGGCGAGCCAAGGCGCCAGTAACACCAGGAGCTTGGATGGTAGAAGCAACTAATTTACCGTAAATCTTATTTAACAAACGAGGAACACTTGCAAAGACAGTAGGCTTCAAGATTTGAATATCGTCAACCAAGGTGTTCATATCGCCACTGAAGAAACCTAAACGGCCACCGACAGTTAGGATCATGATATCTGAGATACGGCCATAGATGTGAGCTAAGGGTAAGTAAGAAATGCAAACGTCATCAGCAGTGCCTCCAAGGTTGGACTGACTGGCAGAAAGTGCAGCCACAAAGTTACGGTGGGTTAACATAGCACCCTAGATGCATTTCAAGTGAGTTTCCAAATATTGATGTTTTTCAGTCTTTCTTTACCTTGGGTGTGCCAGTTGTACCACTAGTATACATGATACAAGCCAAATCATCTGGTGTAGGATGGTTGTAGGAACGTCTATTCTTCTTTCCCAAGAGTTCGATCGCATTAAAGTCAAGTAAGTTGACACCCTTTTCTGCAGCCCATGCTTTGACAATATCACTCTTAGACGCAACACCGGGTCGTGAAACTTCATCAATGGAATCCATGGAAATAATCGTCTTAAGGTTAGGAAGTTTGTGCTTAAGCTTTAAAAGGTCGGCGATATGGTCTCCAGAACAGATAACTGTTTCAAGTTCTGCGTGATTGATGACATATTCGACGGTATCAGGCCCCAAAGTGTCGTAAAGAGCCACGGCATAGTTGGCATAAGCAGCCAGTGCCAAATCAGCAATGGTCCATTCTGGACGGTTGATGGACCAAATACCGATAGGAATCTGTCGAGTACGTGTTTCTCCCATGGTATGGTTCAAATAATTCATCAATCCAGAACCAAAATTAGTCAAGCGGTGATTGATTTGACGGTATGTTTGCCAAACGTAAGGGCCACGCTCACCAGTTTCTACATTTTTAACTGATCGAATACCAATACAAGGACGGTCCTTGGAAATCTTTAAACCTGTTGACATAATTTTGAGAAATGAGGCGCTTTAGGACTATTATCATGTACCATAATTAAAGCAGTCAATGATGGTAGTAACTTTGGGTGAAAAAGTTGTTTCGACAACTGGACGCTTAGCATTACGGTAGATACCTATCAAATGATGTTAATATTATTTTGTATGATTAAAGTTTCTTTTTGTTATACCTGATTGACCAGGCTTTCTCGTATTGGGAACTTCGTACGTTTGTTTATCCAAGGTAAATTTGGCCATGGTTGAAAAAGATGATAAAAAAGGGGAAAAAGAAAAAGTGGAGAAGATTTATAGCGTGGGTGTAACAGATATAAAGGATAAGTCAGCAGAAAATGATTATAGGAACTTAGTTTGAATTTTTATGTGAAGGAAATACTGTTATCACATGTAAAGAACAATGTATTTTATAGCAACTCATTTAGACATGATCAATAACTAGTTACTTAGCTACACTTTAGACTTCATAAAGGGATAAAAAAGATAAATAGGGAGATAGAGCAAGTATAAAGGGACTGAAAAGTAACTGTAATAAAAAAAACGTAAAATGACAATGTAAAAACCATTTACCCACACACACAATGTCAACCTTCCCTCACAGCCTAATCCGACCGGAGCAGGAAAAAATTTACAAATGACTAATGTCAAATTTTTGAAAGATCGGCACTTAAGAATAGTGCAGGGCTTTCACCGGATTACATCATGTGCCATTCATCCTCCTTTCATCCTCCATCTTAATCATCAGCTCCAAAAATATTCCGTTTCTATTCCTATGCAATATATCGTCAAATGGAAGTATCAAATAATCATCAATGTTTATAATCTACCATTGTTACCTTGGTAATAAGATAACTTGTTGACGTTGCTAGTACTGTTTTATTAAAAAATGATTGGTGCATATAAGAAAAAGTATTTACGCAAAGGTTAAAAATAAAACACGTGCGAAGGAGACGACATACAAATGAGAGTAATAAGTACCAAGGAGAGAAT